GCCAGTCGATAAGCTGGAGGAGGAGATCAACCGGCGCATGGCGGACGACAACAAGCTCTTCCGCGAGGAGTTCAACGTGAGCACTTTGCTAATCTGTCCCCCCCCCCCAAAAAAATCCCCTGTTTGTTCCTGCCAGGCTCAGGGGTTGGGCCCCGTTCACCTCTGTAAACAGAATGCCCCTAGAGCAAGTCAAGCCCCGACTAGTCGAAGCCGCTCCTCCCCGCCTTCCAAGCTTTTTTTGGAAACCACCGTTTCTCCGGAGAGCTCCAAAGGAAGCCACGCTCCGATGCAGCAGAGATAACTCAGGGCCATCCTGGGGTGACCGGGGAAAGTTAACAGCCTGAGCTGAGCTAAGTCGATTAGACATCTAGGAAGGCGGCCCAGGTTGGCTTACAGAAAAGCTTCAGGCTGCTGCGCGGCTCGCAAAGAAGCTTGCCGCGGACACGTGGCAGGAACGCTTTCCCATCCACACGCCCAGTCCTCTTGACAAAGCGGGGCAATGTGTTTACATTTGCAACTCACGTTTGAAGACCTCAGAGGGGACGGGGCGTTGCCTCTTCCGCTCCGGCATTCGCAGCTGCTTCCCTGCCATGACCACCCCACCCCCCAGTCAAACCCTTCTTAGATCAACAGGGTTGCCGGCTTACCCTCGCTTGACCTCATTCCTTCGGCCCACTTCCAGGCTCCCTCACGCCCTCTTCCTGTTTTCCCGGTCAAAAATTCGGTTCCTGCGTTTTTCAATTTATACCCGGGCAGCGCTCCGAGAGCCGATCGCCAATTTATAAGAGTTCTGTGTCTGCCTTGACCCCGCCCTGCTGGGCCATGCTGATCTGACTACTTGCGTGGAGGAGGGGATACAGTGTTCCCTCTAAGCTTTGGAGTCTTGTGAGCAAAAACTTTGCTTTGTGAGCTCCTGGCATTAAAGTTGTGAGCGAGCGATTTGGCGACTGCATAAATTAGTTGGCTCTGGAGCCCTCCTTCCTGAGCCGATTCAAAAATGGGTGAGCTGGAGGCTAAAAAAACTGAGGTAGCTCACACTAACTCAGCTTAGAGGGAACACTAACATGAGATTAGAGGCCAAGTGTGTTGGATGAAAGAGCCGATTTGGGATTGTGTGTAATCATCGCACCTAAGAATCCAGTGGCAGAGTCAGGCCCGTGGCCAGGACTTTGTGGCTTGTGGGGAAAAAGTTTTTCTAGTGGAGTTGAAATTCTCAGTGCAGAAAGAAAAGCCACTTAGCCAACAGGAAGCTGTGACCAGGGTAGATCCTAAATTGCAAGCTGTCGACCATTTTAGATGACAGTTCTCAGCTGCTGCAAGTTAATCACTTCTGCCAGCCTAAGCAACAACTCCAACAACAAGAAAGCTAAAATTTAGGCAGAAAACCTCGCTTATCTGCCAGCCTAAGCAACAACTCCAACAAGAAAGTCAAGAAAGCTAGCATTTAGGCAGAAAACCTCTCTTAAAGGAGACCAGTTTCTTGACACAGAGTTAGACGGAATCCTAGAGGTCACCTACTGCACCCCACTCTGCTTAAAGGAGCGCACGCCTTTAATAAAAATATTTTTAAATGATTGAAAAAAGCATTTACAGGAGAAATTCTTGTGGGGCTGTGCCGAAAGGGGACGGAGCTCCCAAAAGCCCCACCGTAACTATGGCCCCGGGGGGGGCGGGTGTCCATTAAGGACAGAGAAACAGTGACGAGGTTCTCCTGTCCCACTCTTTGCTTCCATTTTAACTACCTGTAAGATGTTGACAGGAGGATGTACATGGATGAGATGCTCAGTTCAGTGATTTATTAACAAGCATAAGAACACCGGAAGAGCCCTGCTGGAGCAGACCAGTGAGGGTCCATCCAGTCCAGCCTCTTGTCTCACACAGGGGCCAACCAATTCTTTTGGAACATCCAACAACAGAGCAGGGAGGCCGAGGCCTTCCCCCGATGTTGCCTCCGGCACTGGGATCCAGAGGCTCACTGCCTCTGAACGTGGAAGTTTCCCTTTAGTCACCATGGCTAGTAGCCACCGATGGACCTCTCCTCCACGAATCTGTCTGAGCCCTTTGGTAAAGCCATCTATGTCTTTGGCTGTCACTGCAGCGAATTCCGCATCTTACTCGCTCGTTGGGTAAAGAAGCATTTCCTTTTACCCTTCCTGAATTTGCTGTCCGTCAACAGCGCACTTCTCAGCTACTTCCTTACAGCACAATCTCTTCTTCTTCTTCTTAAACAATTCCCTGCTCTTTCTTTTAGATTTAGCCAGCCCCCCCCCCCAAAAAAAACTTTTAAAGTGATTCAGACTCAGCACAAGTGACTTGCCCAGGACCACACAGAATTTCCCGGTTGAGGATTTGGACCTGGGTCTCACTCCACCCCCGAGCAACACCAGTGTTTTAGCAACAGCGCTTCACTGGCCTCGCCAGTAAGAGCCCTGGAGGAAATGATGGGTCGATTTTACGGCCCGATCGTTCGGGGATCCATCCTGCAGACCCCTGTGCCCTCGCTCTCTGGTTTAAGATATGCTGAGAGTCTGGAGCAGGTTCTGCCTCTCTCTCTCTCTACTAGCTTGTAGCTAGCTCCGGTAGGCTGGAGACGTAACCAATGTTCTCTCTAAGCGGTGGAGTCTCATGAGCAAAAATTCTACTTTTTGAGCTACTGGCATTAAAGTTGTGAGCAAGCGATTCGGCTACTGCATAAAGTAGTTTGCTCTGGAGCCCTCCTTCCCGAGTGAAGACAAAAACCTGTGAGCCGGAGGCTAAAAAACTGTGAGTTAGCTCACACTAACTCAGCTTAGAGGGAACATTGGAGGTAACTCCTTTGCCTTCCAGGAGATGAGTTTTATTCTTCACGCTTTTGTTCAGTTTGGGGCTCATCTGGCCGCCGTTTCTCTCGGCGTTGCTCCAAATAAGCCCCCCCCCCCCATGTTTGCTTTTTTCTGGTTCCCTCTTGGTTATTTGGGAAGGTGCCCTGAATCCCAGCCACAGTCCCTGGGATTTGAGGGCATTCTCCAAGAGGCTTTGCTGCCACCTTGTGGAGCAGTGTGGCACGGCACCTCGCCCTCTGCTGGCTTTGCTGCTTCCCTTAACCATTTGTTTGCGAATAGCCCATAGGATTAGCTAAGGACAAGCGGCCAAAACGGTGAACCTTCATTAGGCGGCCATTTGGCCCACTGGCCTCCTTATCGGTCCCGTAGCTGAAAGCAAACTACTCACGAGCAGAATCTAAGCAAGCGGAATCTGTATCTTTCGCATCACATCATTAAATCTCGCAGAACAGAGATTGGAGTGCAGGGGCACCTTTAAGACAGACGAAGTTTAATTCCTGGTATAAGCGTGTGTGTGCACGCACACGGAAGCTTTTGCCAGGCATAAAACTTTGTCGGTCTTAAAAGTGCCGCTGGACTCCAAACTTTGTTCTACCGCTTCAGATCAACACAGCTACCCAACTGAATCATTAAATCATGTTCACAGTAAATCACTCCGCACTGGGCTGTGTCACACCCACAGGCATCGATCCACACAAGGGCTTCCTCTTCCGGGAGGCAGGTCTTACCTGGCTTTGGAGATTTCCCAAGGCAGAGTGGCTGGTCCCCGTCAAACACAGTTCTAGATTACCTGAACTTGTGGTTCTGCAGATCTCCTCTTTTATGAAGTTTGCTTCAGAGTTCCAGCTAGGGCAAGAGGACAGTCCCTATCGCAGGGGTGTCAAACATGTGTCCCGGGGGCCGAATCAGGCCCCCGGAGGGCTTCTATCAGGCCCATAGTGGAACTGGCTATCTTCTGCTTCTTCCTGTTCTGCTGCTGCTGCTGCATCATCGTAGGTTTGCAGCTTACAGATACACACCTGAACAGCACACTCAAGATTGCAGCAGTGCAGACATTTTGATGCAATAATTCAGAGCAAGGGGTGTTGGTTATCAGATGCTGTTAAATAAAGAAAATATTGCAAGAGTGCTGACGTTTTAAGCATGTTTTTATTTTAAGTAAAAAAACACTTTTGTCCTTTATAAAGTTTACATCTACGCTACCTGGCATCACATTTTATGACACACACGGCCCAGCCCAACAAGGTCTCATTTAGGTCAGATCCGGCCCTCAAAACAGATGAGTTTGACACCCCTGTCCTATCCCATCGTGTGGTGTTGCTGCACGGTGTTCAGGCTTCTGTGTAACGGTGCCCTTGTGTTCCATCAGAGGTCCAACAGAACGTCTCTTTCCCCTCTTTTCTCCCAGGCTCTTCCGGCATGCCCCATCCAGGCCACCTGCGAAGCGGCCTCCAAAGAGGAGAACAAGGAGAAGAACAGATATGTGAACATCTTGCCTTGTAAGTATATCGGCACCCGGCACTGGTCCTCCCTGCGCTCAGTGGAGGATGTAGTTGTGCTGCAGTTCCCATGAACCCACATGAAGCTGCCTTCTACTGAATCAGACCATCAGGGTCCTTGCTGTCTAATCAAACCAGCAGGGGCTCTCCAGGGTCTCAGGCAAAGGTCTTTCACATCACCCACTGCCTGGTCCTTTTAACTGGAGATTCAGGGATTGAACTTGGGACCTCCTGCATGCCAAGCAGAGACTCTTCCATGGAGCCACAGCCCCTTCCTAGTATAAGTATGAACACACGTAAAGCTGCCTTCTACTGAATCAGACCATCAGTCCATCGAGGTCAGTATTGCCTACTCAGACTGGCAGCGGCTCTCCAAGGTCTCAGGCAGAGGTCTTTCACATCCCCTCCTGCCTGGTCCTTTTAACTGGAGACGCCAGGGATTGAACCTGGGACCTTCTGCATGCCAGGCAGAGGCTCTTCCACTGAGCCACAGCCCCTCTTTACAGCTCTCCAGGGTCTCAGGCAAAGGTCTTTCACATCACCCACTGCCTGGTCCTTTTCACTGGAGATTCAGGGATTGAACTTGGGACCTCCTGCATGCCAAGCAGAGACTCTTCCATGGAGCCACAGCCCCTTCCTAGTATAAGTATGAACACACGTAAAGCTGCCTTCTACTGAATCAGACCATCAGTCCATCGAGGTCAGTATTGCCTACTCAGACTGGCAGCGGCTCTCCAAGGTCTCAGGCAGAGGTCTTTCACATCCCCTCCTGCCTGGTCCTTTTAACTGGAGACGCCAGGGATTGAACCTGGGACCTTCTGCATGCCAGGCAGAGGCTCTTCCACTGAGCCACAGCCCCTCTTTACAGCTCTCCAGGGTCTCAGGCAAAGGTCTTTCACATCACCCACTGCCTGGTCCTTTTCACTGGAGATTCAGGGATTGAACTTGGGACCTCCTGCATGCCAAGCAGAGACTCTTCCATGGAGCCACAGCCCCTTCCTAGTATAAGTATGAACACACGTAAAGCTGCCTTCTACTGAATCAGACCATCAGTCCATCGAGGTCAGTATTGCCTACTCAGACTGGCAGCGGCTCTCCAAGGTCTCAGGCAGAGGTCTTTCACATCCCCTCCTGCCTGGTCCTTTTAACTGGAGACGCCAGGGATTGAACCTGGGACCTTCTGCATGGCAAGCAGATGCTCCACCCCTGAGCCACGGCCCCCACCCCTTGGCTGGCCTGTGCAATGGCTTGTCTAATCCCCATCCCGTGGAACCGCTTGCTGCTTCTCTCTTGCTCTGGCAGTCTCGCAAAGCTGCCAGGGTGTGTGTGTGTGTGCTCAGGCCTTTTTTGCCTACCGGAAGTAAATTGTATCCTCCTGGTGACAAATTCTCTGCAATTTGTGGTTCGTCTTGTTTTGTTATGGCTTGGTGTCTTTGGTTTCTTTGAAAATGTGGTTTGATTGTGTTTTGTTTGTTTATGAAAGCGTTTGTATCCCACCTTTCCTCTTGGTTCCTGGTGGCATATGATAATAGTTAAAAACATCCCCCACTGAAACCAGAAATAAAAGAGTCACCCCCAGATCTCTCCCTCCCTCCCCCCAAAAAGATGTCTGCCATTCAAAAGCCCTGGGCAAACAGAGAGGCCTCGCAGCGCCTTCTGGAGGTCTCCAAGGAAGGGCCCCGCTCACCTCACCTCTTCAGGGAGCCCATTCCGCAGAGCCACGATGGAAGAAGCCCAAGCTGTGGTTGATGCCAGACGGGCCACCTTAAGTGGTAGGATAGCCAGCAGATGGCCTGACGATAATAGCTGGTGCAAAGGGCTATGTGGAAGGAGACAAGCCACGTGTGATGTAGATCAAGGTGGGTCGCCGTGTTAGTTCATCGGTGGCAGTAGAAAAGAGCAAGAATCCAGGAGCACCTTAAAGACTAACACAATCTGTGCAGAGTTGGAGTTTTCGTGAGTCACCGTTCACATCTTCAGATAGATCAAGACCCGTGTTAGTCTGTCGCAGGAGAAGAGAGTCCAGGAACACCTTAAAGACGAACAACATTTATGGCAGAGTATGAGCTCTTGTGAGTCACTGCTCACTTCTAGGGTCAAGACGTGAAATTTCTGGAATTTTTTTCCCCTGGAAAATAACATACATTTTTGGAAAAAATTGAAAAAAAAATGCTACATTAGCACTTCTTTTTTCTTTTCCAGATTGAAAGTCATTCTGTTACTTTAGGAACATAAAATATGACTATGGACATTTTTACTTGGCATGAAATTATCACAACTAGTGTATTAAAGATACGGTGTATCCGAACAATTATTACAAACAGAATACCCACCCACATGCAAAAACAAAACTGAAACCTTTTTCTTTTCTTGTGACAATAGCACCTCCTAAAGGAAGAAATGCATCTTGCTCTTGCATTGGAGAGTTCAGTTTGTAACCTAGGACTTGCTTGTCCTCAGTGCACAGAAATTAGATCAGTCTGATACCATACCTATTTTTTGGAAATGATTTAGAAAATATTTGAACACCTTGTCTTAAAATATTTTATTCATCATGTTAAAATAAAATGTTCTATAATCAATTTTCTTTTATTTTTTTTCTTCAATTTTTCCAATTTTCTGGAAAAAAACAAAAAAGGCTGCAGGAAAAAACAGGTTTTTTTCCTAATTTTTCCGGGTTTTTTCCGGGCTTTCACATCTCTATTCTATGGTACCTGAAGAAGTGAGCAGTGACTCACGGAAGCGCATACCTCGCCACAAATTGTGTTAGTCTTTAAAGTGCCACCTGACTCTTGCTCTTTTCTACAGCTACAGACAGGCTATTTCTGCACGCCTACTATCCCTCTGCATGTCACACCTAATCCAATCACGCCTGCTGTTGTCATTCACCTGCTATTGTCATTCGTCTGCTAATGTCATTCGGCATCTGAAATCACTCCATTTTCCGATATATAAAACAGATGGACTCATGTTCTAGCTGTATCTGAAGAAGTGAGCCGTGATGCACGAAAGCTCCTCCCCTGCCATCAGTTTCACTAGTCTTTAAGGTGCTCCTGGACTGTTGCTCGTTTCTACTGCTACACGTGTACTGTGGGCTGCTTTGAGCAGACTTGGCAAAGTGGGGTACAGATTTTTAATTAAATTTAAACCTCCAGGGTTCCACACAAGGGCTGAGTGGTACAGACGCCCAGAATACTTAAAATTTTCCTTAGCTGAACAGAAGAAGGGGTGCGTGTGGAAGAGGCCATGGATTTGTTACAGGCAAGACTTGATGGAGGGTAGGAGAGGTTTACTAGCAGGCAGGGGTCATTTAGTAGAAAAAGAGGTGCAGGAGCTCATTAGCATAACTTATTTGCATATGCCACACCCCCTGACATCACCGGAAGTGTGTCAGAAGGCAACACCCACCGCTCAGGATCCAATGGACTGTTTTGGATTGCTAGCTATTGGGGAGTGGGGGGTGGAACATGCAGATCTGTCCTCGCAGAGGAGGGAGAGCTTGTCCCTGAATAAAACTTGGTCTTAAAGGTGCCACTGGACTGCTTTGGATTGGGGGGCTGGGGGGGGGGCTCTGCAACTCACCTTGCTGCTTCTTGCTCTGACCGAGGGCTGTTGGGAGCAGGGGGTGGGGCTTGTTGCATGTGCCCGCCCCCTGGGCTCTTTACTGCCAGAGCTCTGTTCCTGCACGCCCCTGCAGGAAATGACCCCTGCTAGCGGGGATAAAGGCAAGATGACGCTGCAGTTCAGAAGTCAGGTCAATAGGAGCTTTTGGCCTGCTGCTTAGGGGTGCAAAACACAGATTCGAATCCTGGCTGATCCGAGTAAAGAGAAGCTCGGCAGCCCCGACACAGCCACAGTCTGTGTGTTCAGAAGCTGCTCTTGCTCCAGCCTCCTGCTCTGCCTCACTGACACAGGTGTCGGTCCCGCCAAGGGGGTAGGCACCGTTGCCAGGCAGGTGGTTTGTATCTCGGAGACTGTCGGCCTCTTGCCATCCCCTTCCCTCTCCGCTTACAGCAGAACAGAGAACGAGGCAGTGCTGATTGGAGAGGGGGGAGGTTGCCTAGGAGATGCATTTCTTGTGGGTGGCAAGTCCAAGGCAGAGGGTGGCACGATCCAGGGGAAATGCAGGGAACAGTTTGTGCAGCACAAGAATAATATTTGCAATATGGTAAAACGTCACCATTGTGGAGAGCAGGTAAGAGCCGTAAGAGGAGCCATGTCAGATCGATCAGGCCAGTGGCCCCTCCCGTCCAACACTCTGTGTCACACGGTGGCCAAAACCCAGGGGCCATCAGGAGGTCCACCAGCGAGGCCAGAACTCCAAAAGCCCTCCTCCCACAGTTGCCCCACAAGCACCAAGAATACAGAGCATCCCTTGCCCCAGCCTGAGAGTTCCTATCTATACCTTGTGGCTAATAGACACTGATGGACCTCTGCTCCAGATGTTTCTCCAGCCACCTCTTGAACCTTCTGTGCTTGTAGCCGCCACCGCTTCTTGTCGCAGTGAATTCCACATGTTAATCACTCTTTGGGTGAAGAATCAATGTTTTCATTTTTTTGTCTGTTTAGGAAATTTATATGCCACTTCTCCGGGGTCCGGCTCAAGGCAGCTTCCGAGGAAAGACAGTGCTATAAAGTCAGAAAAACACCGAAAATGATCCAGATTTTTTTTAAAAATAAAAAATACAAGGGGTGAAAAACAAGCCAGGTTTATAAAAACATAAAACCACCCTCAAACATGCTACCGATATCCCTAAAACGGACCTCGGACCAGGCGCGTTCGGTAAAGCAGTTTGAAAAGAACAAAGCCTTTAGTTAACAGTCTGGGTGAAAAGGAATTTATTTATTCATTCATTCATTTAATTTGTATCCCGCGCTCCCTGCCAAGGCAGGCTCAGGGCGGCTTACATAAAAATATATTAAGCACTGAAACACACAATTGAATAAAACCAGAACAATACACTTTTAAAAGAGAGCGTGAAGTGCTAGTGCCATTCACGGGCATCTGACCTTACCCTGTTAAGTGGTAGTCAGGGGTCATTTCCTGCAGGAGTGCACAGGAGCGGAGCTCTGGCAGTAAAGAGCCCAGGGGGCAGGCACATGCAACAAGCCCCGCTCCCTGATCCCAGCAGCCCTCAGTCAGAGCAAGAAGCAGCTAGAGAAGTTGCAGAGCTCCCCCAGGTCCAAAACAGTCCTGTGGCACCCTTAAGACTGAGTTTTATTCAGGGACAAGCTCTCTCTCCTCTGCTAGGGCAGATCTGCGCGTCTCCCCCCCCCCCCCAGTAGCTAGCAATCCAAAACAGTCCAGTGGAGCCTGAGCGGTGGGTGTTGTCTTCTGACACACTTCCGGTGATGTCAGGGGCTGTGGCATATGCTAATGAGTTATGCTAATGAGCTCCTGCACCTCTTTTTCTACAAAATGACCCCTGGTGGTAGTCATTTGGGTCTGGCACTAACATGTTGATGACAGTGTGGGTTCAGGGCCAGGGTCCCAGTTTATTAGGGCTGCCAGGGGTGATTCCGCATTAGGGACTTGCCTCTGGTTCCCCGCGGGCTGAATTGTGCCGGGTCTGATAACTGGTTTCCGCATTAGTCTCCTGCTTCGGAGTCCAAGCCTCTTAGCAGGTTTCCTCGGAAGCAAGCTCCTCTGAATTAAGCCCGAGCAGTCCGCAGCCACGCTTCAGTTTTAGCCGTCTGCCCCCCCCCCCGACGTCTGCCTCCCCCCCCGAAACTAGCAGGGTGGGTTGGAACTCCGAAGAGAGACCTCCCCCCCCCCTGTTCTTTCCATTGTAAGCCGCCCTGAGCCGCTTTGGCGGGAGGGTGGGGTAAAAGTTAGATAAATAAATAAATTTGCTAAATGAGTTTAATTAAGAGTATTTGTCCTCCCTCCTTCCCTTAACTGCACTGCCCCCTCCCCTCCGCCTCCTCTCTACTTTTTCTCTCTTTTTTAAGCGCATGCCCCGTGGCGTCACAATGCAAACAACAGGCACGGGGAATGGGGTGGGCGGGGGTCTAGGAGAGAGAGAGAGGAGAGATTGGATGTATACCCCGCCCTTCACTACCCAAAGGTGTCTCAGAGCGGCTTACAAACTCCTTTCCCTTCCCCTCCCCACAACAGACACCCTGTGAGGTAAAAGAAGAAGAAGAGGAGATTGGATTTATGCCCCGCCCTTCACTAGCCAAAGGTGTCTCAGAGCGGCTTACAAACTCCTTTCCCTTCCCCTCCCCACAACAGACACCCTGTGAGGTAAAAGAAGAAGAAGAGGAGATTGGATTTATGCCCCGCCCTTCACTACCCAAAGGTGTCTCAGAGCGGCTTACAAACTCCTTTCCCTTTCCCTGCCCACAACAGATACCCTGGGAGTGGAGGAGTGGGGAATCAAACCCGGTTCTCCCAGATTAGAGTCCGCGCACTTAGCCACTACACCAAACTGGCTCAAGGGGAGGAGGGGGTGATGGGCGCACACATCTGAATGCAAAACTCAAGGGTGCGGGCATTGGGAGGGAAGTTTTGCCGTGAACCCATTGATTCCGCACCTTAAAACCCCCGACCTGAGAGGCGAACAGGGGAAAAGATCCGTGAAAATCCAGTAGCCAGGAAATCCGAGGGGAAAGCAGATAAGCTGCGGGTTAAATGTCCACCCCGGATTTTCAGGTGGGGAATCAAGCAGCAGCTCCGATTTCCTGTGGGGGCTGACGCCGGGGCAAGCAGTTGTGCGGAATCGCCCCAGGTGAGCCTAAGGTGCCAGGCGAGCCTCCGGGCATTCCAAAGTCGGGTGGCCAGGCTCATGCAGGGTGGGGGAAAGACCCGGAGGATTTGGGGGTGGAGCCTGGAAGGGGTGGGGTTTAGTGGAGGGACTCCAGCAGGGTGGGCAGCCGCTCGGCACGCAGAAGGCCCCGGCTTCAATCCTCTGCATCTCCCGTTAAAGGGATCAGGTAGGAAGTGATGTGAACATACCGTCCAAAGGGCTAAGCTAACAATGTATATTATAAAAGTACAAATATTTATTAGGGTGTACACATTTTAAAACATATACTGATAAAAATCTTTATCTAAGTATCTGACTTATAAAAACATATCAAATACCAATGCGTGTGATGGGTAAACACTTTCCTACTGACGACCAAACGCATTTCGGCCCCTAAGGGCCTTCCTCGGTGGTCACAATTATCAATATAGTATAGACACACATCCATAGACCTGTCGTCATCAGGCCCACAAAAGCTGTTCTAATATCCTGTAGGCTGGGGGGGGGGGGGAAAAAAAAAAAAGGGGGGGGGGGGGAGAGAAACTTCATTATTACTTCCAAATGTATGTAAAATCATTATTAATTGAAAAATGATTCTTTCATAGATGAAATTACCTTGTATATTTGTAATTGTATTACTGGTATTCGTGATGGGCCATAGGTACAGCCATATCAATTCCACCAATGATTCTGAATTCAAAAGAAATGAAATGGTGAAATTTTTGTAATCAATTATATAATAAATTTAACCCAAGCTAAAATAATTGAATTGGTTAACAAACCTGGTAACAGAGATTTCATAGTTCTGAATGTGTGTCCCTCCATCAAGGTAAAGATTCTGTTACAAGCTGCTGGAATGGCTCCCATATATAGTAAGCCTGGGGTGATGCAATCACCTACTTACATTGCACACTGTCAGCCAGGCCTTCAGTGCCCCAATCCCAAGCCCCTCCAGGCGTTCGTCTGCCTACCTTTGACTTGGAAGCGAAGGGGAGGCGATATGTGTTCTCTTCTTTCCCGTGCATCCCCCCCTCCTTGTAAGCAGGTGCTATAATGTACGTACGTTCCTTCTCCTATGACGAAAGTGTATGTCTTTGCTCCAACCTACATGGTCGTTTCAGTCGCCCTGTTGCCCTGAGTTTTATGTTTAGTCTTGTAACACGCCTCTACTGTCCTTCTTGCCTAGATGATCATTCCAGGGTTCACCTGACGCCTCTCGAAGGGGTCCCAGACTCCGATTACATCAATGCCTCATTCATTAATGTAAGTATATCCACTTGGGGTTTGGTGTCGTGGTTAAGTGCGCGGGCTCTAATCTGGGAGAACCGGGTTTGATTCCCCACTCCTCCACTTGCACCTGGCTGGATGACCTTGGGCAAGCCCTAGCTCTGATAAGAGCTGTCCTTGAAAAAGAGCAGTTTCTGTCAAGAGCTCTCTCAGCCCCACCTGCCTCACAGGGTTTCTGTTGCGGGGAGGGGAAGGGAAAGGAGTTTGTAAGCCGCTCTGAGACTCCGAGCGAAGGGCGGGGTATAAATCCAGTCTTCTCCTCCTCCTCCTCTTCTTCTTCTACAATAGGACAGGAAATTGGGCAGTACCTTATTGAGACAGGAGCGAGTCCCAATTCCCTTGCCTGCTCTAACATCAGTATCCCAGCAGGTCGACATAGTTCTGTGAACGCCCCGTGGATTCTGAGCAATCGCTTTCTCATTGTAAATAAAACTCTTTGTTTCTCTCTCGGGGTAGGGAGCCAGCGTGGTGCAGGAGTTGTAGTGTCAGATTAGGATCTCGGAGAGCCAGGTTCGAGTCCCTACTCAGCTGTGGAAGCTTGCTGGGTGACCTTGAGCCAGTCACATGCTCTCATCCTAACCTACCTCACGGGGTTGTTGTGAGGGTAAAACGGAGGAGAGGAGCATGATGTAAGGCACCTTGGGTTGAAAGATGGAGTGTGAATGAAGTAGATAAATAAAAGTGGGTTTTTTTTAATCTCTAGGGTTGCCAATTCAGGGTCGGGGGATTTTGTGCAATTTGAAGTCGGAGCCTGGAGAAGCCAGGGTTCGGAGAGGGCAGGGACCTCGTTGGGATACCATGCCACAGAGTGAACCCCCCCCCAAAGCAGCCATTTTCTCCAGGGGACCTGCTCCCTGTCCTCTAGAGATCAGTTGTAATGCCAGGAGCTCCCCAGGCCCCACCTGGAGGTTATACTACAAAAACTGAGGGCCACGGTGTTAGGAAGATACGGAACAGTATATGTCAGTCTGTACAATAGATGTATGCTTAAGGTAGGTCTGTTGTGTGCTTTTTATTTTTCTATCTTTCTATACTGTTATATAAATACTGGTGTCAGGTATTACCAAACATGGGTTCCACCAACACTGGCTGCGGTCACACGGAGCATTAACTACAATAGGACAGGAAATTGGGCAGTACCTTATTGAGACAGGAGCGAGTCCCAATTCCCTTGCCTGCTCTAACATCAGTATCCCAGCAGGTCGACATAGTTCTTTGAACGCCCCGTGGATTCTGAGCAATCGCTTTCTCATTGTAAATAAAACTCTTTGTTTCTCTCTCGGGGTAGGGAGCCAGCGTGGTGCAGGAGTTGTAGTGTCAGATTAGGATCTCGGAGAGCCAGGTTCGAGTCCCTACTCAGCTGTGGAAGCTTGCTGGGTGACCTTGAGCCAGTCACATGCTCTCATCCTAACCTACCTCACGGGGTTGTTGTGAGGGTAAAACGGAGGAGAGGAGCATGATGTAAGGCACCTTGGGTTGAAAGATGGAGTGTGAATGAAGTAGATAAATAAAACTTTTTTTAATCTCTAGGGTTTCCAACTCAGGGTTGGGGGGTTTTGTGCAATTTGAAGTCGGAGCCTGGAGAAGCCAGGGTTTGGAGAGGGCGGGGACCTCGTTGGGGTACCATGCCACAGAGTGAACCCCCCCCCAAAGCAGCCATTTTCTCCAGGGGACCTGCTCCCTGTCCTCTAGAGATCAGTTGTAATGCCAGGAGGTCCCCAGGCCCCACCTGGAGGTTATGCTACAAAAACTGAGGGCCACGGTGTTAGGAAGATACGGAACAGTATATGTCAGTCTGTACAATAGATGTATGCTTAAGGTAGGTCTGTTGTGTGCTTTTTATTTTTCTATCTTTCTATACTGTTATATAAATACTGGTGTCAGGTATTACCGAACATGGGTTCCACCAACACTGTTTGTTTAATTACTTATTTCGATTTCTTAACCGCCCTTCCCTGCTTACGCAGGGCTCAGGGCCGTTTACACAACAATACGTCAAAGTGCAGGTCTTACACTATGTTCGACCATTCGGACAGCACCTTGTCAGTTTCACAATCACTAGTCCCACCGGACTCTAGTAATTTACCCGTATCGAATATAGTCTTTTTCGAGGACAGTGATGTACACAGTGAATTCTCTTTGTGAGTACAAAACCCGTAGAATAGCAGCGTATTTTCCAGGGTCCCATCGGAACTGAAATAAACAAAAATATTAATACATCAGTAGAATTTCATCCATCCTTATTTATCTCCTGGCCCCACCCACTTTCTAAAAACACTTGGCGGGCACCAGGAAAGGTGTCGGCAGGGGCCATGGTGCCCACGGGCTCCGTGTTGAGGACTCCTGTTCAGGGCTCTTTTTGTAGCAGGAACTCCTTTGCATGTTAAGCGACACACCCCTAATGTAGCCAATCCTCCAAGAGCTTACAGAACTCTTTTCGCATGGACTGCTGTAAGCTCTTGGGGGATTGGCTACGTGAGGGGTGTGTCGCCTAATATGCAGAGGAGTTCCTGCTACAAAAAGAGCCCTGCGAGAGGGTTATTTGCTCCTTCCACCTGAAGCTGCTGTGGCAGTACCGGTTGTCTCCCTTCCAACCCCCCAGGCAGTTTTCTACCCTGGGTACAGTGAAGTGTGCGCTGTGCAGGGCTATTTTTGGGCAGGAACGCACAGGAACGGAGTTCCGGCTGGCTCCCAAGTTGGCCACGCCCAGCAGGAACTCATTAGCATAATAGGCCACACCCAACAGCAGAAACTCATTAGGATTGGCTACATCAGGGGTGTGTGGCCTAACATGCAAAGGAGTTCCTGCTACAAAAAAAGGCCCTGGGTTTTGACAACAAACAAGGTAAACAGAATAAGAAGCAAAAGGTGGGTGTGGCTGGATGACCACACTTCTGGTAACGTGGGTGCGGCCTAATGTGCTAATTAGCTGTGCTGTCAGGGGTGTGGCCCAATATGCTAATGAGTTCCTGCTGTTGGGTGTGGCCTATTATGCTAATGAGTTCCTGCTGGGCTTTTTCTACAAAAAGAGCCCTGGCTGTGTGTAACTTTTGAAAAGGTTCCCATTTGGGGTGCCATTTTATGGTAGTTGGCATTCTTAAGGGCAAACACTGATCTGTCCTTTCCCTCTCTTTTTTTTTTCTTTTGTCCTGGCCAGGGGTACCAAGAGAAGAACAAGTTCATTGCAGCACAAGGTAAATCCCTTCGGCTTCCCTTCATCTGTTTGTATTCAGGTGGAAGCAGACTGGGAGTTTTTACACCGACTTAAGGCTAAGTGGTTAAGACGCTGAACTGCAGGCTGTGGAAGGTCAGTAGTTCAGCAGTTCGAGACCCGAGTGTGCCGCATGACAGAGTGAACTCCCGTCTCTAGTTCCAGCTCCTGCCAACCTAGCAGTTCGAAAGCAAGAAATTGCAAGTAGATAAATAGGGACCACTTCGGTGGGAAGGTAACAGCGTTCCGTGCGCCTCGGTGTTTAGTCATGCCGGCCACATGACCACGGAAACGTCTTTGGACAGCGCTGGCTCTTCGGCTTTGAAACGGAGATGAGCACCGCAACCCTAGAGTCAGATTCGACTGGCTTTCGAGCAAGGGAACCTTTCCCTTTTAAAGATACAAATAAGTGTGTGTTTTGTTCTGTTTCTGTAGGGGGTGGGACTTTGGGGTTTTTATTTATTTATTTATTTGTTATTTTATGGGACGTCCTTCCACCCAAATAGGATCCTCGGGGCCGCTAGCATCATGACAGTAAAACGTTTAAAACAGCATTGTAAAAGCATATATAAATATTTAACGGTACAGTAAAAACTATAGAAATAGAAACAAGCACAACCGGGGAGAAGGGCCAATAAGAGTACGTGCATTACTTGCGTTCCCGTCAGACCTGTCTTACCGCTTTAACAACATAAAATGCCTCATTTATAACTTATTTGGCTTATAAAATTGCACTGTTTGGCATATTTGTGGAACTCAGAAGTCTCTACGCCTTCGTTTTCTACAAGCAAAATTGCAAATCTGGCCATCCTTGAGCGAGCGAGAGAGAGCTGCAAATTTTTGAATCCCAAACCGTCTTGGTGGCGGCGGTGGAAAGTGGCTTTTGACCCTGTAGGGTTTTCAGGTCAGGAGAGGAACAGAGGTGGCTTCCCATTGCCTGCTTCTGCATAGCAACCCTGGACTTCCTCTCAGGGGTCTCTGTCACAATCTGAGCTGTGCAACTAGAGGCCTAGCAGGCCCAGGGAGCCTGAGTAGCAGTGGGAGGAGGCCAGGCCTACAACTCCCAGAAGCCCCTGAGAGGTTTTGGCGCCAGTTTTAGCCAATCACAGAGTTTCTAACTGGAGGAGGGTTTTATTGTATTTAGCCATAGGCCATTATAAGGTTACCAAACCCCCCCGGGGGGCGGAATTCCCCCCAGTTTCGAGCCCCGATTTCCGCTCCCGCGGAATCGGGGCCCGGGGGAAACCCCACCCCCGCGAGCGCGTCACCAGGAAGTGACGTCAGACGCTGGGGCGGGGCCGCGCCATTTGAGGGGAAAACAAAGAGTTTTCCCCTCAAACGGCAGCCATTTGAGGGGGAAACTCTTTGTTTTCCCCTCAAATGGCGTGGCCCCGCCCCAGCGTCTGACGTCACTTCTGGTGCATCCCGGACCGGCTCCCGGACCTAAAGGACTCTCCCCCGCCGGTAGGAATTTTCAAGTTGGCAACCCTACCCTAGGAAGCGCCTTGACATTATTCTACCTTGCCTCCACCCAGGGGTCATTTCCAGGGGTCATTTCGTAGAAAAAGAGGTGCAGGAGCGCATCAGCATAACTCATTTGCATATGCCACACCCCCTGACATCACCAGAAGTGTGTCAGAAGGCAACACCCACCGCTCAGGCTCCACTGGAATGTTTCGGATTGCTAGCTATTGGGGGGGGGACGCACAGATCTGCCCTCACAGAGGAGGGAGAGCTTGTACTTGAATAAACCTTGCCCTTAAAGGTACCACTGGACTGTTTTGCATTGCTAGCTATGTGGGGGGCTCTCTGCAACTTACCTGGCTGCTTCTTGCTCCCTGTGGCCCGGGGCTGCTGGGAGCAGGGGGCGGGGCTTGTTGTATGTGCCCGCCCCCTGGGCTCTTTACTGCTGGAGCTCCGCTCCTGTGCGCTCCTGCAGGAAATGACCCCTGCTCATTTCATAGATAAAGAGGTGCAGGAGCTCATTAGCATAACTCATTAGCA